CCCCCCCACAAAAGTATACATTTTCAAGAAATTCCAGAGACAGGCAGGAGGACCAAAAAAAAAAAAGCAAGGAAGTGTTTGTGGCCCACTTGCATCTAGGACACCAGTGACTTGGCCAAAGAATTAAGCCAGGGACAGGAAGGGTCACCCAGAGCTGCTCAGAGGGGCCAAGAGGTCAGGAGTGAACACCCCAGAAATTTCTGCCATAGGTTTTGTGCAAATAAGCTCTCTCTGAACCTCAGAACAGAAATTTGTGTCTTGACAACACCCCACCAGAAGGAAGAAAGGGGCCAAGAAGTGATGATGGAAATTCCTTAGGCTTTGTAAAAAGTGTATGAGATATTTAGTAAACCACACACACACACACACACACACACACACACACACACACACACACACACACACATTTAAATGGGGTCTGTACCTTACTCTAACTTAAGAGCACCACTCTGGCAAATACTAGCAGGGAAAGCCTGAAAGCTCTTTTGTTTGCTTCTTTGCTAAAAAGTTAGTAGGTTTTGGTGTGGTTTCCTTTACACTCATGCTCTATGCTGGTTACGGAGAACGGATTTCCTGACAGTTGTTAGGGTCTTTCAGGGTGTGTGTAAGCAGCAATAAGGCTTAGACTTCTATAAATGCTATCAAAGAGGAAGCCCAGAACACACTACAAAAGCAAAGGTCATTTTTGTCCCCCCAGAGACACTGCATGAATTTAGACCCTTGCCCTTTCTGCTGAGGAGTGTTCAGACCCTCCTCCAATAGTTGGCAAATAATTTATTTCTGTGATAATGTCTTTTGCGATTGTAATTGCAGATAACACAGTCTCATGAAGCCCTGGTATCAAAGTTCATGTGGGGCCGGGCATGGTGGCTCATGCTTATAATCCCAGCACTTTGGGAGGCTGAGGCAGGAAGATTGCTTAAGTCCAGGAGTTCGAGACCAGCCTGGGCAACATAGGGACACCTCATCTCTACAATAACTCAAAATTAGCCCGGCATAGTGGTGTGCACCTGCAGGAGGCTAAGGTGGGAGGATCCCTTGAGCCCGGAAGGTTGAGGCTGTAGTGAGCCAGGATTGTGCCACGGCACTCCAGCCTAGGTGACAGAGTAAGACCCTGTCTCAAAAAAAAAAAAAAAATCAACTTGGATCCTTCTAGGAATGTAACTCAGCCACACCTCCAACAGGAAGCAGGTCTGCTTCAAAATACAGCTGAGGTCATTTGGAATCTTTTTTTTTTCTTTTGAGTTGGAGTCTCACTCTGTCGCCCAGACTGGAGTGCAGTGGCCGCTCCCAGCCACCGCAGCCTTAACCTGCTGGGCTCCGGCGATCCTTCCGCCTCAGCCTTCCAAGTAGCTGGAACTACAGGCGCGGGCCACCACACCCAGCTAATTTAATTTATTGTAGAGATGAGGTCTCGCCAAGTTGCCAAGGTGGGTCTCGAACCTGCGAGCTCAGGCAATCCACTCACCTCAGCCTCCCAAAGGCGCAGGATTACAGGCTGAGCCACCGAGCCCGGCTACATTTGGAATCTTAAGAAGGACAGTGATCCTGAATTTGACCTGCAATACCACAGTTCCAAGCTACAGCTAAGCACAGCGACATTTCCGTTTATTGTAATGCATGACAAAACAAAACCATTTGACTGCTTGAGCTTGGGCCTTTGATGATTTAAAAATTAATTCAGCTGGGAGAGCGGAGGAATGTTTCAAATGCTTCCTACTATAAAAATTAATTCTGTAGCCACATATGCCTCTAGATAGAGGCACAGGGCTTGTGCAAGCAAAAGAGAAAAAACTGTACTCCCTGGCTTTGCTGGTTCAAAATCACTGCTGGGTGCTGAGCCTATCAGGGACTCCTTTAACAAATGAGATTTCTCTCATCTGTCACCCCATCCCATGGTGCCCAGAGAGTGGGAGCTTCTGCCCTTGACATAGGGAGGGGTAATCTCATTTTACTTATAAACCCAGACACTGGGTGATTTATGAGAGGATGCTCCAGCTTGGGAGAGGATGTCATCAGAATCACCTGGAGAGCTTGTCAACTACAGGAATCTCCTCCTCCAACCTTCAGAAGTCCTACATTTAAGGTAAAATAATGTCACTTCAGCAGGTTTTTTTTTTTGCACCACTACAAACACGAGCACTGAAATTTCATGGCAGAAACAGAAAATCCTTACAGTGCTTTATAGGAATTATTCTAAAAAACAAAAACAAAAAACAAAAGTCAGACATGGTGGCTCATGCCTGTAATCCTAGCACGTTGGGAGGCTGAGGCAGGAGGATTGCTTGAGCCCAGGAGTTTAAAACTATACTGGACAGCTCAGTGAGATCTTGTCTCTACAAAAAATTTAAAAATGAGCCAGGTGTAGTGGCACACCCATAGTTCCAGTTACTCAGGAGACTAAAGCAGGATTGCCTGAGCCCAGGAGTTTGAGGTTGTGGTGGGCTGTGATTGTGTCATCATCATACTCCAGGCTGGGCAACAGAGTGAGAACCCGACTCCAAAAAAAAGAAGAAAAATGAAGACTACAAGAGACTGAAATCTCTTAAATCTTTAAAAGAGGGGGGAAATAGCTTAAGGGTTTTAACCAAAACAGTATTAACCTGCTCAGATCTACAGACCTGACACTAGGAAATGTGTTTGTGAATTACTAATACTGTCCTTATTTAATCTACTACGTACCAAACAGCTTCCTATTCCTCAGAGATTCTATTAGAAAGTTATTTGTCAATAACATCAGTTGATCTGGGAAGATGACACACATAGGCTCAGAGGACTTTTAAGATTCTCATTCAGAAGCTAGATGGCAGGTTCATGACTGTTCACTTTGTTACTACATTTCATAGATTTCATACATATTACATTTACGCTTTTATATTTTAAAGCATTATTCAATTTAAAATCTAATAAAAATAGCAGTTGAACAACACAATTAACTTTATCAGGTAAAATCTGAAAACTGCTCCTTCCCAAATTAACTAAGTTGCTTGTCATAAGTTATTATTAGAGTCAAAAGAAAAAAAACCCTGAAGTTTTGAAGCCCAGAAGAGAAACATGCAACTACTTTTCTACCCTTAAATGTGACCAATATAGCAATATTAGCAGATAGCAATGATTAATTTATTAATATCAAAACTGTTACTAATGGCTGGGCATGGTGGCTCACATCTGTAATCTCAGCACTTTAGGAGACCGAGGCGAGAGGACTGCCTGAGCCCAGGGGTTTGAGACCATCCTGGGCAACTTGGCAAGACTTTGTCTCTATAATAAATCAAAATTAGCCACGTATGGAAGGCTGAGGCAGAAAGATTGCCTGAGCCCAGGAGGTCAAGGTTGTGATGGCCATGGTCATGTCACTGCACTTCAGCCTGGGTGACAGAGTGAGACCACAATTCAAAAAACAAAAACCATCACTATTAACCCTATACAAAGCACCTATACAGCACTTCGCAAAGCACATCCCCAAATATTTGTCTCATTTGATTGTCACAGAAATCCTGCATGGGAGATACTGCCAAGTCCTCTAAAAAGGACATGCAGGCTCCCTCAGAAACCTCATCTAAAGCAGACCGTGAACAAATAATTTCCAGTCTGCCAGCGCTCACCACTAGTGGCATCTCCTCAGTGTGCCTCGAACATTTCTACATCATAAAACACAGAGCTTTGGGAGGCTGAGGTGAGTGGATCGCCTGAGCCCACGGGTTCAAGACCCGCCTGGGCAACTTGGCGAGACCTCACCTCTACAATAAATCAAAAAATGAGCTGGGCGTGGTAGCGCGCACCTGTAGTTCCAGCTACTTGGAAGGCTGAGGAGGAAGGATCGCCGGCGCCCGGCAGGTCTAGGCTGCAGTGGCCGGGAACGGCCACTGCACTCCAGTCTGGGCGACAGAGTGAGACTCCAACTCAAAAAAAAAAAACAAAAAAAACAACACAACGGATGCCAACAGTCGTTAGTATTTACATGCGTGGTCACTGTGTCAAATACTGGCCTCAGCTAGTGTTTCATGTACATTATTTCATTGAATCCCCCCAACAGTCCTAGAAGGAAGTAGCATGATTGCCCATACTTTGACATGTTCTTAAAAGAGAGACTCAGAAAGGCTCAGTCAGAACCCAGAAATAAAGCTGCTCGCCCACAACCAACTGATCATCAACAAAGCCAACAAAAATCAATAATGGGGAAAGGACACCCTATTCAATAAATGGTGCTAGGGAAACTGACTAGCCATAGACAGAAGAATGAAGCTGGACCCCTGCCTCTCACCATATACAAAAATGAACTCAAGATGGACTAAATACTTAAGATACTCAAACTATCAAATCCTAGAAGACAGCCTGGGAGACACTCTTCTGGCAGTGAATTTATGACCAAATCTTCAAAAGCAAATGCAACAAAAACAAAAATTGACAACTGGGACCTAATTAAAGAGCTTCTAAACAACAAAAGAAACTACCAACAGAGTAAATAGACAAGATACAGAATGTGAGAAAATATTTGGGAACTATGCATCCAACAAAGAGCTAATATCTATAAGGAACTTAAACAAATCTATAAGGAGCTTAAACAAATCGACAAGAAAAATAAATAACCCCAATAAAAAGTGGGCAAAGAACATGAACAGAACCTCTCAAAAGAAGATAACACGCAGCCAACAACTGTATGAAAAAATGCTCAACATCACTAAGCATCAGAGAAATGCAAATAAAAACCGCAATGATATACCACCTGACACCAGTCAAAATGGCTATTATTAGTAAGTCAAAAGACAATAGATATTGGTGAGGCTGCAAGGAAAAGAGAACAATCAGATACTGCTGGTAGTCCAGCCCTTGTAGAGAGCAGTTTGAAGATCTTTTAAAACTAAAAATAGAATTGCCACCCAACCCAGCAATTCCATTACTAGGAACTCTATTACCCAAAGGAAAATAAATCTTTCTTTTTCTTTTCTTTTCTTTTTTTTTTTTTTTTTTTGAGTTAGAGTCTCCCTCTGTTGCCCAGGCTATAGTACAGTGGCACCCTCATGGCCACCCCAACCTCAACCTGCTGGGCTTGTGCAATCTTTCCGCCGTAGCCTTCCCAAGAAGCTGGAAATACAGATGCACGCCACCACACTGGGCTAATTTTTTGATTTATTGTACAGACAAGGTCTCACCAAGTTGCCTAGGCTGGTCTCGAACCCCTGGACTCAGGCAATCCTCTCACCTCAATCTCCCATAGTGCTGGGAATACAGGGGTGTGCCACCGTGCCCAGCCAGAACATAAATCTTTCTACCAAAAAGACACCAGCACTCATATGTTTATTACAGAATAATTCACAACATCAAGGTCATGAAACCAACCTAGATGCCCATCAACAGTGGACTGGATAAAGAAAATGTGGCACATATACACCATGGAAAACTACTTAGCCATAAAAAAGAACACAATCATGTCCTTTGCAGCAACATGGATGCAACTGGAGGCCATAATTCTAAGCAAATTAACACAGAAACAGAAAACCAAATAATGCATATTCTCACTTAAAAGTAGAAGCTAAACACTGGGTATACCTGGACACAAGATGGGACCAACAGACACTGCAGACTCTTAAAGGCGGGGGAAGCAAGGGTTGAAAAACCACCTATTGGCCACTATGTTCACTATTTGAGTGACGGGTCAACAGAAGCCCAAACCTCACCATCACAAAATATACCTATGTAGCAAGCCTGCACGTGTACCTCCTGAATTTAGAATTTTTAAAATAATTTTTAAAACTAAAAATTTTACAATGACTTTTTTTAAAAAAGCAAGTTTCAATCACTTGCCTCACTTCATGGATTTAGAAACAGAATCAGGACCGGAACCAAGGCCTACCCAACACCCAAGTCGATGTTCTTAACCCTTGTATGATACTGTCTCCCACAAAAATAAGTCTCCCTGAAAACCCTTCCCAGCATCTTCCTAATCATCAGTTAAGGCAGTGCTCACATTGACCTCATTCTATATGTCCTACTCACCATTGGGGTTTTGGGAAGGGAGTCACCCAGAAGGAAGATCATGTCCTTTAAGATCTCTGAGGTGATGTCTTCCGACAGTTCGTAGAGCAGTTTTCTAAGACACACACCCAAAAAAACAAATAAAGCCTTACACTTGCAAAGGGCCTTACGGTAAATCACATGCTTCCATAACTGCTTTCTGTCATGAGAATGGTCCACTCTGTGAGTAGGCAATGATTAATTCCGTTTTATAGATTCCAAAATGAAAACTTTGCATTTCTCAGTGACTTATTTAAATTAAGCTAACACAGTAAGCAGTAGAGGCAGGTCTTCTGACTCCAATTCTAGTGCTGTTTTTCATCATACTAGAAAGGCATTAAACATGATTTTGTTACGCCCTCCCACCTCCTGCTTTGTTCTAGAAATCCAGGCTTACTTCATAGGCCCGCAGCCGAGAGGACCTGATGCCAGCCGACATTGTAGTCTGGAGTATACCGAAAAGGGAAGGCAACTACCCCAGCTTCTGGATAGTAATATCATCCACAACCAGCAAAACTAAGTATTTTATCCACACACTAACCTCCCCAGCTGCCAGAGACCATCCCTAAGATGTTTACCCAACAGATGAAAATGTGAATTTCTAGATTCCATCATTCCTGACACTGACCCAAGGGTAATTCATGTTCTGGGAGCCAGTTCTGGTTTGAAGGCTTCAAGTGTTCAAATCACCTAGGCCATAAACACCTTCAAAAGCCTCTCCTTGCAGGGTTCTCTGAGGGGGACACTACATCAGTGGAGAATTTTTTTTTTGAGTCAGGGTCGCACTCTGTCACCCAAGCTGGCTCATCACATAGCTCACCACAGCCTCAACCTCCTGGGCTCAGGTGATCCTTCTGCCTCAGTCTCCCAAGTAGCTGGAAATACAGGTGTGTAGCACCATACCCAGCTAATTATTTGATTTATTGTAGAGACGAGGTCGTGCCAAGTTGTCTAGACTGGTCTTGAATCCCTGGGCTCAGGCAGTCCTCTGGCCTCTGCCTCCCAAAGTGCTGAGATTATAGGTGTGAGCCACCGCACCTAGACATCAGTGGGGAATTTAAAACACTATCTTCTAAGTTCAGACCCACGGGCTTTGAAAGGAAGCTGGAATGCAGATCTTTTTCTCATCCACCTCCTCTGATGATAATCAGGAGCTCTCTCAACCTCAAAGGCTGATGAGATGAGAGTCTGGACAGAGGTCAGCAAAGCTTTCTTTCTACTTCGGAAACAGGCCTGGAGGTGGCTTCCCCTAGTTTTGCTTCTCATAAGAGAAGAGCCCGCCTTGGTGCAGCAGGGCTGTGCTCTTCTGGGTTACAGCCTCCACAACGGCAGACAGGTCTTCCGCCTGGGGCTCCCTGGCATGTCTTCCTGTCTTGGGGTCTTGAGAAGAGGGTCAAACTCACTTGGAGCTAAATAAGCAAGCTGAAACAGGAGGTGTGTCTCTGGGATAGGGAGAGACCTAATCTTTTTACAATTTATTTTTTAATTTTGGGGGGCTGGGGTCTCACTCTGTCACCCAGGCTGGAGTGTACTCGCACCATCTTGGCTCACCTTAGCCTTGACCTCCTGGACTCAGGTGATCCACCTCAGGCTCCTGAGTAGCTGGGACTACAGGCACATGCCACCATGTCTGGCTAATTTTTTTATTTTTTTGTCGAGATGAGGTCTGGCTATGTTGCTTAGGCTGATCTTGAACTCTGGGACTCAAGAGATTCTCCTGCCTTGGCCTCCCTAAGTGCTGGGATTCCAGGTGTGTGCCACTGCACCCAGTTTGGGAGAGACCGAATTGCTGCCATATGTAGGTGTAGATTTTTATAAATTTTTGAGTGGAAATCTAGACAGATAAAATACAGTCTCTGAGGTTGAAAGAGCTCCTGATTATCATCAGAGGAGGTGGATGAGGAAAAGATCTGCATTCCAGCTTCCTTTCAAAGCCTGATGGCCTGAATGAACCCTAGATGGAAAATCCTCCCGCGGGCACCTAGATGCATCCTCACCTGAATGGAGAGACCCTTCCTCGGGTGGGCAGCCAATGCTTCACTTGCTCCTTGGTGTAGTCAAGGAACCGCAGCAGTTTGTTCTGCTTGGTGATGAAGAGGAGTTCTGCTAGGAAGAAAGTGTCTTCCTCACTCAGCAGGTTCTCTTTCAAAAGATGATCGAAAATATCTGAGGCTGAGCTGGAATTCTCCAGTCTCTTGGGAGAGACTAAGTTGAGGCAGAGAAACTTCAGCTGCTCCACCTCTTGGGACCCCAGGTTGGAGTCGATCATCAGAAGCATCTCACGAAAGCTCGCGTGACAGTTTTTATCTGAACTCATACATTGACCTTGAGATGTCATGGCCAGCCTGAAAGAGACAGAGAGCTAGGGCAGGGCATTAGAGAATGAGGACATATTTCACCCTGACTTCCCGGGCCCTCCCCAGCTTCTGGTCTCCTCTGTTCCTGACATCAGACTTTCCCAGAAGTGCTGAAAATACAAGTTGCTGTGAGGCTACATCAAAAGTCAACATGCTGAGGCCAGAGGATCACTTGAGCCCAGTAGTTTGAGACCAACCTGGGCAGCAAAACCTCGTCTCTACCAAAAAAAAAAAAAAAATTAAAAATTAGTCTGTTATGGAGGAGCATGCCTGTAGTCACAGCTACTTGGGAGGCTGAGGTGGAAGAATCACCTGAGCCCAGCAGGTCAAGGCTGTGGTAGCCATGATCGTGCCACTGCACTCCAGTCTAGGTAACAGAGTGAGACTTCAATTTAAAAAACAAAAGTCAACAGTCCAGAAAACCTCACCCCAACACTTGCAAGTTACCTTTTAGGAGGTTTGGAGGGAGTTTTTTGTTTTGTTTTGTGGGGAGGTGGAGTTTGTTTTTTCTTTGGGGCTTTGGGCTTTGTTGTTGTTATTGTTGTTGTTGTTACTGGAGTTTTTTGTTGTTTTTTAGTAGGAGTCTCACTCATTCGCCCAGGCTGGAGTGCAGTGGTATGATCACAGGTCTCCACAGCCTTAAAGTCATAGGCTCAGGTGATTGTCCCACCTCAGCCTCCCAATGGGACTACAGGCACACTGCCACACCCAGCTAATTATTTGATTTGTTGTAGAGATAAGGTCTCGCCATGTTGCCCAAGCTGGTCTCAAACCCCTGGGCTCAGGCAGTCCTCTCCCCTATGCCTCCCAAAGTGCTGGGATTATAGGTGTGAGTCACTGTGCCTCGCTGGAGGGAGTTTTTACTGGAACTTAATTTATCTAGACTTCTCCCAAATCAAAACATCCTGGTGGAAGAAAGTCAAGAGGAAGGAGCTAAGTCAATTAAGTTTCTTTCTTTCTTTTTTTTTTTTGAGTTGGAGTCTCACTCTGTCACCCAGACTGGAGTACAGTGGCCACTCCCGGCCACCACAGCCTCGACCTGCTGGGCTCCGGCGATCCTTCCGCCTCAGCCTTCCAAGTAGCTGGAACTACAGACGCGCGCTACCACACCCGGCTCATTTTGATTTATTGTAGAGATGAGGGCTTGCCAACTTGATTTATTGTAGAGATGAGGGCTTGTCAAGTTGCCCAGGCGGGTCTCGAACCCGCAGGCTCAGGCAATTCACTCACCTCAGCCTCCCAAAGGCAAAGGGATTACAGGCTGAGCCACCGAGCCTGGCCATCAATTAAGTTTCTCTGGCAACCTAGTTGGAGCTCTTAAACCTCAACCTAGTTGGAGTTCTTAAACCTCAAATTCATTTTCTCCAAATGGCAGAAATAGAACTTGGATCTATGCTTTAAGTTTTAGAAACACAGTATTGAGGGGAGTTAACCTTCTGAAGTATCTGCCAACCCAAGGACACTGAGGTACCACAAGGAATGTTTGGTATATCCTTAACTTCAGACTGCTACCCGTAAGGGGGCAGGCCTTTATCTCACAGAAAGGGAGCCATTGCCCCAGATCCCAGAAGGAAAGGGTGGTTTTAGACAAGAGTTGCTCAAATCAGTGTAGGAAGTTACAAATTTCTTGAGTCACTATTTCCACCCAACTAGTTCATAGGCAATGGTATTTTCTACACTACATTTCATTCTAATCAGAGGAACAACGCATTTGATAAAATTTTCATTGTGATATCATTTATTCTATAAGAACTTGAGGTATATATTCATTACACAGGACTCGTCTACTTTTAGAAACAAACTTCCTGGTTTTTAATTAACTTTCATTCCCCCCTCATCCCTACCCCCGCATGGCAAAGAAATCCAGACAGAAATAGAAACAATGCCCTTGCTGATGAGTTTTTGCAATTTTCTAAAACAGGAGATTGAAAAGGTCAGAGCATGAGACCCTGGGCGGTGTCAAGTACATACCTTCAGATCAAGTTCCACCAATCCTCTGCTGGTAAACGGTTCTCGAGGAAGCACCTAAAAAACAACGTGTTAAAGAAATTAGAATCCTCTCGCGCCTCCAAGGTCCGAGGAAGCTTCGGTTTGCGCGGGATGAGAATCCAGGGCTTGCCTAGCTTGAGTGAAGAGTGGCTCTTCTGGTCCGGGCAGATGCTATTAATGCCCTGGTGATGTCATCACTGCCTGCCTGCCTGCCTTTTCCCCCCTCACCCTTCCCTGTGGGTGAAAACAACCCTGACAAACAGCGTCTCCTAACGGTAGATGTTCCCAGGAAACACGAAAGGCTCCTAGAAATGAACTCCCCCGGAAGCTGCTCAGTGTTCCAGCCTTGCCTTTGGACCTTGGTTTTCGTGGTAAGTCAGAAAGGGAAGTATTGATTTTCCTAACCATCTCCTTCCCCAAACTCAATCTTTTTTTTTAGATTAAAACCTAGCTGGAGTGCAGTGCCATAATCATGTCCCATTGCAGCCTCATCCTCCTAGCCTCAAGTGATCCTCCCACCTCAGCCTCCCAAAGTGCTGGAATTATAGGAGTAAGCCACTGCACATGCATTTCACTTAACCTTTAAAATAAAGTCAAAAGACTGGGTGTGATGGCTCATGCCTGTAATCCCAGCACTTTGGGAGGCAGAGGCAAGAGTATCGATCTCTTGAGACCAGGAGTTAGAGACTAGACTGGGCTACATAGCAAACCCCCATCTCTATGAAAATTAAATAAATAAGCAAAATAAGGCAAAAAAGTTCATGAAATGGCAGTAAGTCTCCCTTAAACCTTTCTTAAGTCAATCTGCAAATACACAAATTAAAATTTTAAAAGATAAGTCGGGCTCAGTGGCTCACACCTGTAGTCCCAGCACTTTGAGAGGCCAAGAAGGGAGAATCGCTTGAGCCCAGGAGTTCAAGAACAGCCTAGGCAACATAGGGTGATCTCATCTCTACAAAAAAAAAAAAAAAAAATACAAAAATTAGTTGGGTATTGTGGCCCACACCTGTAGTTCCAGCTACTTAGGAAGTTGGGCAGAAGGATGGCCTGAGCCCAGGAGGTTGAAAAGCTGTGGTGAGCCAGGATGGCACCACTGCACTCCAGCCTGGGCAGCAGAGTGAGACCCTGTCTCAGAAATCAAAGATACAAAAGTGGACATTTGAAGTTATTTGCAAGGGACTCACTCAGTTAATGGTGGAAAAAACTGACACAGCCTGCTTTCAAAGCACATTCAATCCACCTGAGGGAGCTTGAGCATGTTATTTCTAATAAGAAAAACAATGCCAATAGTTAGAGAAACTACTATGTGCCAGACAAGGACATTTACAAATATGTACTCATTTCACCATCCCACCAACCATCTAAGATAAAAACTGTTACAATTAACATGAACATTAAGGCACAGAAAGGTTAAGTATTATAATTTGCCCAAGGTTACAGAGATAGAGCCAAGAATTTTTTTTTTTTGAGGAGGGAGTTGGAGTCTCACTCTGTCATCCGGACTGGAATGCAGTGGCACCCTCCCAGCCACTGCAGCCTCGACCTGCTGAGCTCCGGCGATCCTTCCTCCTCAGTTGTCCCAAGTACCTGGAACTCCAGGCAGGTGCCATGACTCCCAGCTAATTTTTGGATTTTTTGTAGAGACAAAGTCTCGCCAAGTTGCCCTGGGTTCAGGTAATCCTCTCACCTCAGCCAAAATTGCTGGGATTACAGGCTTGAGCCACTACACCCGGCCCAAAGAGGCAAGACTTAAACCAACATGTTTGACTCTATGTCACTACAATATAATTAAGCTAAGTCAAATGTGCAGTGCTCTGGAAAGAGGTACAGAATCTTAAAAGAGGTACAGAATCTTAGAAGGATGTTTTATCTCTGGACAGAAGCAAGATTTGCAATGGTTTTTTTGGGGGGGGGCTGGGTTGGAGTCTTACTCTGTCACCCAGACTGGAGTGCAATGGCCGTTCCCGGCCACTGCAGCCTCGACCTGCTGGGCTCCGGCGATCCTTCCGCCTCAGTCTTCCAAGTAGCTGGAATTACAGGTGCGCGCTACCACGCCCGGCTAATTTTTGATTTATTGTAGAGATGAGGGCTTGCCAAGTTGCCCAGGCGGGTCTCGAACCCGCGGGCTCAGGCAATCCACTCACCTCAGCCTCCCAAAGCACGTGATTACAGGCTGAGCCACTGAGCCCAGCTTGCAATGCTTTGATTAGCAAATGTGTTCGAGTGTCCCTTCCACATCCCTGACATCTTCCAGAGAACTTCTGTGCTTAAGAAAGAAAAGTCCCACACAACCACACACTGCATACCAGGTCTACTTTCAGGGGGTGACAGGACTCACTAGAAGCCCAAATTTCACATGCATGCACTTTGCTTGGGTATTAAATCCTCACATGCACCCTACAACTCTAAAATAAAATAAAAGAAATAGCCCACATGAAGGGCCTGGACCACAGTCGACACTTAAGTGTGGAGATGATTATTATTACTACTGTTATTCAAAAGCATAATAAACCTTTCTCTAGAACATCTTGGGAAAAAAAAGAAAGACAAGCCCTCTGGTAATGTTGCACAATGATAATGTACTTAATGCCACTTGATTGTACCCTTAAAAGTGGTTAACATGGCCGGGCACAGTGGCTTATACCTGTAGGCCCAGTGATTTGGGAGGCTGAGGTGGCAGGATCATTTGAGGCTGGGAATTGAAGCCTGTAGAGAGCTAAGATTCCACCACCACCCTCTAGCCTGGATGACAGAGTGAGACTCTGTCTCTAACAAAAGAAAAAGTAATAAAATAACAGGACAGTGTTGTTGTTTTTTTAATGAAGATAGCATCTAATCAGGACTTTGAGCTGAGCTATTTCTGGCATAGGTGCAGATCCAATAAGGTGTCTGCGTTTGTCACCATGGCCTCAAGAGAGACAGGCCCAGAGCCCAATACCACCCACAGTCAGAGCACCCTACGGGCCATGCCTAGCTCTCACCGGCTCTGCATAGAAGAGAAGGCCACTCGGATCCAGCCTGCCTGCAACATACCAGCCCCTAAGGGACCTCGGCTACTCAAGAAACACAAAGCAAGGGTGCGCCAAAACCTGAAATTCCACCAAGACTACAGAAAAAATAAAAAACAAGAACAGACTGAGGACTGGAGGAGGAGAGAGGAACATTTTTGAAAAGGCCAGGAAAAAGGAAGAGGAGAGGAAGGTATCTGGAGGAGTCCCGGAAGAAGGAGGGGAGGACAAGGAGAGGAGGGCATCTGGAGGAATCCAGGGAGGAGGAGGAGGAGGAAGAGAGGATGAGGGCATCTGGAGGAACCTGGGAGGAAGAGTCAGAGAGGAAGGCTCTGGAGGACTCTTGCGAGGTCACATGGTGTGTGGCGTGTGGTGTGTGTTGTGGGATGCGTGACTGTGTAGTGGAGAGTGTATTGTGTGGCGTTGAGGGGTGTGGTTGCCATTGTGGTATGTGGCCTTGCGTTCTGTGGTGTGTGTTGTGAAGTGTGTGATGTGGAGTGTGTGGTGTGAGGTATGTGATGTCTGGTGTATGGTCTGGGATGTGTGGGGTATGTCAGCTGTAGCTGCCTGGTGTGTGAAGCGTGGCTGTGTGGTGTGGAGTGTGGGGTGTGTGGTTGTTTGTAGTGTGTGGTATGTGGTGTAGGGTATATGGAGTGTAAAATGTGCCTGTGTGGTGTGGAGTGTGTGGTGTGGAGTATGTGGTGTGGGGTGTGTGGTTGTGTGGTTGTGTGGTGTGTGGTATGTGGAATGACCTTCATTTCCCTCCTGTGCCCTCACTGCCACACACCACACAGCCACACACCCCACACTGCATACCCCACACCACACAGCCACACATCATACACCACACACCCCACACCTCACATCACACAGCTACACACTAGACACACACACCACACACTTCATATCATACACCGCACACCATACACCACACAGCCTCACACTAGTCACTACACACCACACACCACACACTCCACAGCAGCACTCCACAGTCACGCACCATAGCCACTGAGGTTCCCTCCAGGGCCCTGAGGGCCGAGTGGAGAGTAGTTTTCCCCTGGACTCAGTTCCAGCAGCCTTCACACACACACACACACACACACACACACACACACACACACACACACACACACACCCACATGCTTCTGTGCGCGCACATACACACACGCCAGTCACCCCGCCCTGCACAAGGCTGTTGCCCACTTACCCAGCTCTGCACCTGCTACCCTACTCCCTTGTCCCAGGATGTTGCACCCTGGGCTTTTAGCAGGGCCCTCTCTGCTGCAGAGGGCCCTGGGGGACTCCCCTGGTCCCAGAGGGGGCCGAGCCCCACGTCATTCCGGTGGCACCCCCAGCCTCTGGGCCTGGCAGCATCAGATGTGGCCCAGGCAGGGTGCTTGGCCCCAGCCAAGCTGGATCTCGGTCATACACAGGGCTCACATCCACTGTCCATCCTTCCTTCCTTCCCTCCTTCCCTTACCCCTGCACCAGATGGGACAGTCCAGGAAGGCAGGCAAGAGGGGCCTGAGCCTCCACCTCTCCTCACAGGAGTCCCAGCCCCCTTTGCCCTCAGCCTGGGGTCTGTGTCTACACTGCAGGGATGAGGAGGCAGAGGCGCCTATGGGCCAGGGGAGGCCCAGATTCCCTGTCCAGCTACCTGAGTGGGCTGGGGCTGCTCACCTATCCCACCTGCTTCCGCCCCTCCTGGGACAGCCCCCCAACCAAGAGCAAGCCCCGCTGGCCCCAGGCCTGCCTCGTGTTCCTCCCGCCCCAGGTGCTGGCCTGCCTTAGCTCATAAACAGTCTCTGACCCATCGCCTGAGTTCTTGTTCAAAGCTTCATCCTCTGACATCCCCCACTGCTCCTGCCACCAGTGCCAAATGCTCATCCTGATGCCTCCTGTTCTGCATACCTTCCCCTCTCCCAAGATGCTCTTTAGGAGAAGGGGTCTGAGGCACAGCAGGCTGGGTTACCCCCTAGGATGCTACGGCAGAGTGAGGATGGGCCCCCAATGGACCACGAAGAGTGTAGGCGCCATCTTCCCTGCCTATTCTATCG